GGGACCAGGAAAGAGAATATAAAAAGAAAGTTCTAGAATTACTTTGGCCTGGCTCAGGTTACTATTACTGTGACTGTGACCTGGTTACTTCATGCCCAGAGCCTCAGTTTCTACATCTGTACCTCGTGTCGGAGTTGTGAGGATTAAATGAGATGATTGGTGTTATTGCACGTAAATTTCCTGACAGGATAGAAGCTGTTTAAATGCTAGCTACAGAAAAACCTGCTAAAGGCGGAACCTGTGTAAGGTGGAAACCCATCTTAGAAGGTAAACACAAAAATATTTTCCACTAACAGAGAGCGATGGAAAAGTGGTAAAACTGCACCCTGTCAAAGGTGGAAAACTTGCAGGAGACCTGTAAAAAGGCAATCCTGTGCGTTCCTGCTCTCACAGGTTTCACTGTATTATTGGTAGTACTGTTGCTATCCCTGTTCCTTTAGCCACCATTGGATCTGTCGCACACATGCTGGCTGCTTCTCTGCTTGGTAAAGAATATTTCAACTATTTTGCATTGTCATGTACTTGGTCCTGGAAGTGGGCAAGTCGGAGCAGAGTGGATCTTCCACCAGGGACCCTGCTCCCAGCAGGGCTCAGCACATTCCCTGTGGAGACTCCACCCTGTGTCTGTCTCTGCAGCTGTCGTTGCTCAAAGTCTGCTGTGGAGCTCTGGAGAGCTGTTCTGGGTGTCTATTTACCAGCAGCTCCAACCTGGGAGAGGGATTTCCTTAGAGCCAGAGAGAGGTCCCAGGGTTTTTTTCTAGCTCAGAATGGGGTGTAGGGGCATGCTTCTAAAAGGATTCTCAGCATACTGCCCCCTTCCTGCCACCTACCTGCTCTAAACCTGGGAGGGCGGGTGGCATGCCGAGCTGGATGATGGTAACGAAGGAAGCATTGATGGAGGGCCTGCTAAGGGCCAGACACCAAAGAGCCCCTAAAACCAAAAAGACAAAAAAGCAAAAAGCAGTTGCTTGTCCAGTCAGCTCTGACTTATGGTGACCCCCATGTGTGTCAGAGTAGAACTGTGCTCCATAGGGTTTTCAATGGGTGATGTTTTGGAAGAGAATCACCAGGCCTTTCTTCTGAGGTGCCTGTGGGTGGACTAGAACCTCCAAAATTTCAGTTAGTACTACCCAGAGACTAAAGAATCCCTCCGAAAAACCCAAACTCATTGCCGTTGAGTGGGTTCTGACTCATAGCGATCCTACAGGACAGAGTAGAACTGCTCCATAGGGTTTCCAAGGCTGTAAATCTTCAGGGAGGCAGACTGCCACATCTTTCTCCCTCAGAGGGGCTGGTGAGTTCAAGCTGCCAACCTTTTGGTTAGCAGCTGAGCACTTAACCACTGCGCCACCAGGGCTTCTACGGACTCTTAATTTTATTTAGTACTTGCCATAACCTTAATGTGGTAGACCCTGTTGGTGTCTGTGTGTTACAGATACGAAGGTTGTGCCTTCCCCTCACTAGGGTGCTTAGGTTTTGGCAGTTCAAATCCACTGGCCGCTTCTTGGAACCCTGTGCGGCAGCTCTACTCTATCCTGTCGACTTGATGGCAATAGGTTTGGTTTGATTTGGATTTACCTTTGACTGTCTTTTCCCCCTTCAATCCTGGAAACTCCCAGGAGGGCTGGATGGGGACTTTTCATTGTCATAACTTCCCCAGGCCTTCTGGCAGAAAAGTCAGGGGATGCTGTTGAATGCATGCTGTGTTTTTAACAGCTGTGGCAGAGATGCTTATTGCTGGGCCTACCATTAGACCAAGGGGCCATGGAGCTTTCTGAGTAAGAACCTAGAGTCCCATATGCCGGCAGCGTTCACCTTCTCCATCTCAATTATTCTCACACTAACTCTGTGAGACAATTGTTAACGACCCCATTTTACTGGTGGAATTGAGGCACCAGAGCCCGAGGGTGAGAAAACTGGTGTATGGAAGAGCCACGATTTAAATTTAAGCCCGAATCTGTCTGATTCCCAAACTCAAAGCCCATCCCATTATACTCTAGGAGAGAACAAAAAAAAAAAAAAAAGAGAGAAAATCAAATCAGTTGCTGTGGAATTGATTCTGACTCCTAGGGACATCATGTGTGCAGAGTACAACTGCTCTGCCTTAGTCATCTAGTGCTGCTATAACAGAAATATCACAAGTGATGGCTTTAACAAAGAGAAATTTATTTTCTCACAGTTTAGTAGGCTACAAATCCAAATCCAGGGCGTCAGCTCCAGGGGAAGGCTTTCTATCTCTGTCGGCTCTGGAGGAAGGTCCTTCTTGTCAATCTTCCCCTGGACTAGGAGCTTCTCCATGCAGGAACCCTGGGTCCAAAGGACATGCTCTGCTCCCAGTGCTTCTTTCTTGGTGGTATGAGGTCCCCACTCTCTGCTTCCTTTCCTTTTATCTCTTGTAAGATAAAAGGTGAGGCAGGCCACACTCCAGGGAAACTCCCTTTACATTGGATCAGGGATGTGACCTTAGTAAGGGTATTACAATCCCACCCTAATCCTCTTTAACATAAAATTACAATCACAAAATGGAGGACAACCACACAATACTGGGAGTCATGGCCTAACCAAGTTGACACGTATTTTTGGGGGAAACAGTTCAATCCATGACATGCTCCATAGGATTTTTAAGGCTGTCACCTTTCAGAAACAAATTGCCAGGTCTTCTGAGGTGCCACACTGGGTGAGTCTGAACCACCAACCTTTCGGTTAGTAGTCAAGCACTTAACCATTTTTGCCATCCCGGGACTCCGTGCTCTAGGGCCAAACCCGTTGCCATCAAGTCAATTCCGACTCATAGTGACCCTATAGGATAGAGTAGAACTGCCCCATTAGGTTTCTAAGGAGTGGGGTGGTGGATTCGAACTGCCGACCTTTTGGTTAGCAGCTGAGCTCTTAACCACTGCGCCACCGGGGCAGGCGTAGGCAAATTAGGGTCCACCTGCCCCCTGTTTTGGTACATTCCTAAAGCTAAGAATAAGAATGGCTTTCCATTTTTATTTTTATTTATTTTTTTGTTGTACTTTAGATGAAGGTTTACAGAACAAACTAGCTTCTCATTAAACAATTAGTACACATTGTTTTGTGACCTTGTTTGCCAACCCCACACGACACGTCAGCACTCTCCCCTTCTTGACTTTGGGTTCTCTATTACCAGCTTTCCTGTCCCCTCCTGCCTTCTTGTCCTTGCTCCTGGGTTGCTGTGCCCATTTAGTCTCATTTTGTTTTATGGGCCTGTCTAATCTTTGGCTATGACTCGGAATCGACTCGATGGCAATGGTTTTTTTTTTGTAATCTTTGGCTCCAGAATGACTCCAGAATGACTTCATTACTAAGCTAAAAATGTGTCCAGGGCCATACTCTCGGGGTTTCTCCGGTCTCTGTCAGGCCAGTAAGTCTGGTATTTTTTTTGTGAGTTAGAATTTTGTTCTACATGTTTCTCCAGCTCTGTCCGGAACCCTCCATTGTGATCCCTGTCAGAGCTGTTGTTGGTGGTAGCTGGGCACCACGTAGTTGTGCTGGACTCAGTCTGGTGGAACCTGTAGTACTTGTGGTCCATTAATCATTGGGACTGATCTTTCCCTTGTGTCTTTGGTTTTCTTCATTCTCCCTTGCTTTGGACAGGGTAAGACCAGTGGAGTATCTTAGATGACTGCTTATAAGCTTTTAAGACCCTAGACGGTATTCATCAAAGTAGAATGTAGAAGATTTTCTTTATAAACTATATTATGCCAATTGAGCTAAATGTTCCCCGAGACCATGGTCACCACAGCCTTCAGCCTACTAATTTGGTCCCTCAGGGAGTTTGGATGTGTCTATGAAGCTTCCATGACCTTACCTTGGACAAGTTGTGCTGGCTTTCCCAGTACTCAGTACTGTCGTAGCCTTCACCAAAATTACTACTTATCTCTTGTAATCTATTGTATCTATTTAGTGTGGGTTTCCATTTTTAAATGGTTGAAAACAAAGTCAAAAGAAGCATAATATTTCATAATACCTGAAAAATATTTGAAATTCAGATTTTAGTGTCTGAAGTTTTATTAGAACACAGCGACGTTCATTCATTTACATATTGTCTATGGCTTTTCTTGTACTATAGTGGCAGAGTTGAGTAGTCTTGACAGAGTCCATGTGTCCAACAAAGCCTGAAATACTTACCATGTGGCCTTCTACAGAGAAGGTTTGCTGACCCCTGCTCTAGGGCTTCTCTGAAAGTGCAGAATTTCAGAGGTGAGGTGGAGAAGGACAGGTGAGGTGTTTGAGGGCAGGATGGGATGGGGCATAGTGAGAGCTATTGTTAGTTGCTGTTAACTCGGTTCCAACTCATGTTGGCCCCATGTACAACAGAATGATCCTTGTAATTGGACAATATTCTGTTGTGGTCCATATGGTTTTCATGGGCTAATTTTTGGAAGTAGCTTACCAGGCCTTTCCTCCTAGTCTGTCTTCATCTGGAAGCTCCACTGAAACCTGTCTACCATGGGTGACCCTGCTGGTATTTGAAATACTGATTGCATAGGTTCTAGCATCATAGCAACATGAAGGCCACCACAGTATGACAAACTGACGTATGGTTGATGGACAATAAGGGGTAGGCTGGCTAAAGCCAAAGGTCCCTGTAAGGAGGCTGAAGATGGGTTGCTAGTTCCTTTCTCTGATAGGTTTTCATTTAAGCCTCTTATCTGCTGTTGGGGAAATAGAATTAAAAATAAAACCTGACTCCCCACAAAGGTAGGAGAGAATGAAAACAATTTTATTATTGAATAAGCATCGAACCAGAATGTGATGCATCCCAGGCAATCCACTAAAGAGACTGCAAAGATGGAAAGAAATCTCATCCTTTGTATAGCCAAGTAGATGCAACCCATTTCATACACGTTCTCAAGGTAAACGGTAACTAGTCCTCAAATAAGAGGACTTGACAGCACCTTTTGTCACACATTGTTTATCCTAAATTCACCTGGTTGTTGGGGCAGCCACCAGTGTTTGTTAACTGTCTTTATCCAAAGGAAAAATAAACTCATGTCTTTATGACCAAAAACCAAAAAAACCAAACCCGTTGCCGTTGAGTCGATTCTGACTTATAGCGACCCTATAGGACAGAGTAGAACTGCCCCATAGAGTTTCCAAGGAGCGACTGGTGGATTTGAACTGCTGACCTTTTGGTTAGCAGACGTAGCTCTTAACCACTAAGCCATCAGGGTTATGACAGGAGGTACTTTTACAGCTTGGGACCCGCCCAAGTTAGGCTGTTAGCCTCCCACAGAAGCTGTGAAATAGAAGGCTGTCTTCCTTACTAATTACATTGCAAAGAGATGGCCCCCAAGTCCTAGAGGAAACATTCCTGGGTTGTAAAACTGGCAAGAAGCCTGTTTAGCCTTTCAGGAAGATTTCTCAAAAGAGGTTTTTTAAAAAAAGAAAAACAAAAAAACAATTACAAGTTTTCTAAAGTAAATGCTCTAAGAAAAAGGGAAGCAGGGAGGTGTCTCTGTTTTTGCATCGGGGAAAATTGTTCAAGTATATGGGGTTCCTGGGTGGTGCAAATGGTTAACTCACTAGGCTGCTAATAGAAAGGTTATAGGTTTGAGCCTACCCAGAGGAACCTTGGAAGAAAGGCCCAGTGATCTACTTCTGAAAAATCAGCCATTGAAAACCATATGGAGCACAGTTCTACTCAGACACACATGGGGCTGCCATGAATTATAGTTGATTTGACTGCAACTGGGTTTTTTTTTTAACATTGCCCCATCCCCCCATTTCTGGGCACGGATCCTTGTGGGAATAACGAACTCATTGTCTTATCTTCTCACCATTTCTGTGTCTTATTTCCTCCAGTGGGTCGCTAGCATCGATGTGGTAGAGAACGAAGAGGCCAGTGCTAGCATCATCGTTAAGATGACAGACTCATTTACTGAGCAGGCTGACCAGGTAATTTCAAAAAGGCCCCAGCAAGCACTGGGGCAGGGGAACCTGGAGAGAGGTTTCTGCTGGCTCTGTGTCCTTCCTTTTTGAAAGTATTGTTTCTCAAATTATGAAATTGAAAAAAATACAAAGAAGGTCATACATTACCCATCATCCATTTATAGTTAGCCCACTGTTACCATTTCAGCCTGTTTTCTTTGCTTTTTCTATGCATACTCAATATTTGGTATTTTTTACAAGTTAAGATTGTATTTTATATTTTATGGTCACTTTTTTTTTTTTTTTTTTTAAAACTTAACATTATAATTTAAATACTTCTCCAGATCACTTTAAAAAAAAACAAAAAACACTCTCTGTGGACATTGTGATTTTTCATTTTTTTCATTTTCTAGATTGGCCATGATATAATTTCCACTTACTGTACATTTAAGTTTTTTGCAGTTTTTTTTTTTTAAATTGGGAAGGAGAGTACCCTTGGTCATGATTTGTAAAGAAACCTTGGAAGGAAATATACCAGAATGTTAGCTGTGGGCAATGAAGCTCTGGGTAATTTTAAAAACCTTTTTCTATTTTTCTTTATTGTTTTATTTCAGAGGTGCTTATGGTCCCCACCCTTTAGAATGTTCATCAGAAGATTTTTGTGCTTTACAAAAATCACATTGAAATGTAGGTGGGCTTAACTACCTAAAATGCTCATCATAGTTGCTGCTGCATCTACTTTTCAAAATGTTAATTGTGAAGTACTGTAAAGTGACTTAAAAAGAAGAGAAAAATAAAAATAAAATAAATCTATGAAGACACTAGCCTGTTAGATTTATCTTGCAGTTTATGGATCCTTTCACCCTCTCTTTTTAAGGTGACTGCTGAGGTCGGAAAACTCTTGGGTGAAGAGAAGGTGGACGCAATCCTTTGTGTGGCTGGAGGATGGGCCGGGGGCAATGCCAAGTCCAAGTGTGAGTTTTCTGAGTTAACCGGCTGACACCAGCTGTTTTTCTGTATGCCTCCCGGAATCTTCATAATAACCCTGGGATGCAGGGATTAAAAAAACCCCAACCTGTTGTTAGTGTGTCCACTCTGACTCACGGCAGCCTTGTGTGTGTCAGAGTAGAACTGCGCTCCACAAGGTTTTCAATGGCTGATTTTTCGTAAGCAGATTGCCAGGACTTTCTCTGAGGCACCTCTGGGTGGATTCAAACCACCAACCCTTTGGTTAGCAGCCGAGTGTGTTAATAATTTGCACCATCCAGGGACTTGTAATCACCCCTCTGGGGTGCTCCCATGGTGCTCATCAGCATTTCTCCAGTTACTTCATTTGGGGGTTGGTCTTTCTGCTAGACTGTGAGCTCCAGGAGACCACGACCTGGCTTGTTCTTGCTTACTGCTGTGTTCTTATACCCTGGCACAGGGCCTGGCATGGTGCAGGCCCACAAGTAGTATAAACTGAATGATTCAATGAATGAATGACTGAGTAAATGACTGTTTGGCCAGTCTAGCAAGTAAGTTAACGGTCCTCTTTTATTGGCTAAAACTTTACCAGTTGACCAGTTAGGAAGTTGAGACTCGGGTGATTACACGGCCTGGATTCGAACCTGCATCTCTCTTACCTCCAAGCCCTGTGCTGTTTGTGTCAGACTTTGTTGTAGACAGGGACTGGGGGAGTGACAGTGCTGTGAGTGAGTCTTCCTCTGAGTGTGGAGCTGGGTGGGGTTCGGTTTCTTCACTGAGAATTGTGAGCTGAGATATTGTTTTTTCCCTCAGCTCTCTTTAAAAACTGTGACCTGATGTGGAAGCAGAGCATATGGACGTCCACCATCTCCAGCCACCTGGCCACCAAGCACCTCAAGGAGGGAGGCCTGCTGACCTTGGCTGGTGCCAAGGCTGCCCTGGATGGGACCCCTGGTAAGCCTTCATCTGCCTGTCTCTGAAATGGGAATGCTTGAATGTTCACCAGGGCTGCCAGGTATTTCCGTGACAGGGGGATGGTTAAAGAAAACACTTAATTGCCAAGGTGCTTTCCAGTTGTACGGATTTTGCTTCCTTTTAGGCCTTAATCTTTTTAGCGAGCAGGGTCCTGGTCCTCTCATTTGTATTTGTCCTTGTGTTCATGGTTGTCTTGGTTATCTAGTGCTGCTGTAACTGAAATACCACAAGTGGATGGCTTTAACAAGCAGTAGTTTATTCTCTCACAGTCTAGTAGGCTACAAGTCTGAATTCAGGGCACTGGCTCCAGGGGAGGGCTTTCTCTTTCTGTTGGTTTTGGGGGAAGGTCCCTGTCATCAATTTTCCCTGGTCGAGCTGCTTCTCAGCACAGGGACCCTGAGTCCAAAGGATGTGCTCTGCTCCTGGCACTGCTTTCTTGGTGGTATGAGGCCTCCATGTCTCTGCTTGCTTCTCTCTTTTATATCTCAAATGAGATTGACTTAAGACACAATCTAATCTTGTAGATCTCATCAACATAACTGCCACTAACTCCATCTCATCAACAGCATAGAGATAGAATTTATAACATATAGGAAAATCACATCAGATGACAAAATGGTAGACAATCACACAATACTGGGACTCATGGCCTGGCTAAGTTGACAGATATTTTTGGAGGACACAATTCAGTTTATGACAATAGTGGTTAAGGAATATTGTAATCAGGTACCTCCTGCCCATCTGGTTTATTTGTCTATGATCCACATAGGAAATGAATGGTGGTGCGGTAGATATTAATTAATTGTTGTGAGTTGCAACTGGCTCTGACTCATGGCAACCCCATGTACAACAGAATGAAATGTCCAGTTCTGTGCCATCTTCACTATCATTGGTATGCTTGAGTCCATTGTTATGGCCACTGTGTATTTTGAGTGACTTCCAGCCTAGGGAGCTCACCTTCCAGCATTATATTGGATGATGTTCTGTTGTGACCCATAGGGTTTCCATTGGTTAATTTTCAGAAGTATACCCACTTCTCACTTATTGACATGGTTAGGTTCCAAAGACCAGGTTGTTATATGAAAATCATCATTATGTGAAAACGGAGGATGACCACATCAGCTCACAAAATGGAGGATGGCTACATCATTACATAACTGCCAAATTACATCATTACATAACTGCCAAACCACTGAGAATCATGGCCCAGCCAAACTGACGCATAACCTTAGCCATCACAGCCAGCGTTACTCTCACCTTACACCGTGGTATTTGTTACTGCCAGATGTATGTCATTAATGTGCAAAATAGTTGGATAATAGATTTTTTCACTGTTGTCATACACGCGAAATGGCAGATAACAAGATAGTCGATAAGTGAGGAGTAGGTGTAGATTGCCAGTCCCTTCTTCTTAGTCTGTCTCTGTCTGGAAGCTCCGCTGAAACCTACCTACCCTGGGTGACCCTGCTGGTATTTGAAATACTGGTGACATACCTTCCAGTATCATAGGCCAGGGATCACCAGCATGCAAGCCACCACAGTATGACAAACTGACAGATGGGAGGTGGATTCATTAGTTAATAAACATGTATTGTTGTCATCATACTGTGTTCAAATGTCATAGCTCAGCAGCTCAGCAGCTGGAAATAGCTTGGGTTTTAGAATGAGAGAGGCTGGAGGTGGATTCTTCACTTTAGCTGTGTGTCCTTGAACAAGTTATTTGATCTCTCTGAGCTACCATTTCCATAATTGTAAAATAGTGACAGCATCTACCTTGAAGAGTAGTTGTAAAGTTTTAGAAGCATTAGTATGTGCAGCGTGCCCAGCAAATGGTAGACACAAACACATAGTCGGTCTTATGATACTGTTTTCACCCTTTTCATTTCATACATATTCCCTTAATCCTGGGGTCGGTGGCTTTATTATCATTTTAAATTTATAGGTGAGGAAAGTAAAACTCAGAGAGGTTAGGTAACTCATCTGGGCTCATGCAGTATGTCATCTGCAGAGCTGGAACCAAAACTCTGGTCTTTTGACTCTAAATAGCGTACTTTTTCCACTATATCATGCAGACCTGAGTTTCCGTTGCATTTTTCCTCCCTTTGGGATAAACCCAAACCAAAAAAATAAACCCACCACCACTGAGTTGATTCTGACTCATAGTGACCCCATAAGGTTTCCAAGGTCGTAAATCTCTGTGGAAGCAGACTGCCACATCTTTCTCTCGTGGAGCTGTTGGTGATTTCAAACCATCTACCTTTTGGTTAGCAGTTGAACGCCTTAACCACTGCACCACCAGGGCTCCTTTGGGATAGGGCTAAAAGAATTTAAGAGGGGAGGGAGTGTAGGGAAGGGGGGTACCAGGAGGTAGAGAGTATCTACCTCCACCACCCATGTTAAACTCTTCTTAAAGAGGAATCAGTACTTTTTCTTTTGACCTCTTTAGAAATGGTGGAGAGCTTGACCCACTGTATCAGTTTCTTGTGACTGCTGTAACAAATTACCACATACTTGGTGGCATAAAAACAGTAGAAATTTATTCTCTCACAGTTTTGGTGGCTAGATGTTTGAAATCAAGGTGTCGACAGGGTCACTCTCCCTCTGGAGGCTCGGAGGGAGAATCCATTCCTTGCTTCTTTCCTAGTTTCTGATGGCTGCAGGCAGTCCTTGGCCTGTCACTCCAGTCTCTGCCTCTGTCTTCACATGGCCCTCTCTTCTCTGTCTACTCCTTTTCTGTCTCATATAAGGACACTTGGATTTAGGACCCACTCAGGTGATCCAGGATGCTGTCACCTCAAGATCCTTAACTTCATTACATCTGCAAAGACCCTTTTCCAAATAAGGTCATAGTGACAGGTTCCGGGGAGTAGGATGTAGACATATATTTTTGGCGGCTACCAGTCAGCCCGCTACACCATTACGATGATAGCTTCATGGATGAGAATCAGCATAGAGCGGATTCCCAGGAGGCAGAGCTCAGTCACATCCCTGCTTTCCTGCTTGTCCACTGTTTCTGACACCAGCTGCTTGGGGCTAAATCAGACCTTACAGGTTAAGAGGACACCTTTCTTGGGTTAGTTAATTCGCTGGAATGACTCACAGAACTCCTGGACGACTTTGTTGTTGTGTGCCATCAAGTTGATTACGACTCATAGCAACCCTACAGGTTTCCTAGGCTTTAATCTTTGTGGGAACAGATTGCCAGGTCTTGTCTCCCACGGAAGAGCTGGTGGGTTTGAACTGCCGACCTTTCAGTTAGCAGCTTAGCATTTTATTATAGTAACTAAAAAAGCAAACCCAACCCGTTGCCATCAAGTCGATTCCAACTCATAGCGACCCTATAGGACAGAGTAGAACTGCCCCATAGGGTTTCCAAGGAGTGGCTGGTGGATTCAAATGGCTGACCTTTTGGTTAGCTAGCCATAGCTCTTAACCACTATACCACCAGGGCTCTTTTATTATAGTAAAAGAATATAAATTGAAATCATCATAAGAAAGAGATGCACAGGCGAGGTCTGGGAAGGTTCCCAATGTGAAGCTACCATGTCTTAGAGAGGGCACATCACCCCTCCCTTCACAAACGAGGAAGCTCTCTGAGCCTTCTTGTTCTGGGCTTTTATCAGCCAGTCCTGTATGATAGGCTAAATCATGCCTCCTGAGGCTAGTTGATATCGACCTCCCTCGCTGATAAGTCTTTTCTGGTCTGGACAGCCCCAGCAGTCAGCACAAATCCTCGGGTGTGGCCTGGAAGATCAATGCACATCAGTTACTCCAAAGATTATATCTCAGGAACCAAGGTCAAAGACTACCTTATTTAGGGTAAAACTAGGTCCTTTACCCCACAACCACCTTTCTCAATTTTAACTCTGAGGCTCTTACTAATAAACAATTTCTTGCCATTCTCTTTGTTTTATTACATTTCTCAGAGCTTATGAGTCCATGGCTCTTGCAGTAAATAAAGCTGTGCAAACATTGGGTGTTTGTTCGAGTGAAATCTGCTTTTTATTAAAGGTGACAGCAGAGGAACTAGGCAGTAAATACAGAGATGAGTAATAGTTTGACCTTTAAAAAGAGAACCCCAGGACTGAAAGACTTATTTTTTTGAAGGATAAAACAGTCTCCTACTTCCCTTTTTATATTTTATGTACTGGTTTGTAACGATTCATCTTTGTTTAAATTTTAAAACAGTGGTTAAGACCGCAGGCTCTGGAACCACACAGGCTGGTTTTCTATCGTGGTTCTGCCACTTACTTGCTGTGAGGTATTTGGCAAGTTGCTTCACCTCTCTTTGTCTGAACAAAAGGGGAAAGATGTCATGACCCAAATAAGTTGGCCAACATTTGATCTGAGAGCTTAGAGATGAACAAATTTAATGACATCTGAAGCAAGAGTGGGTGTATAAAAGTGAGGAGAAAATAATAGCTAATATTTACCATTGACCTTTCTAAGTCACTAACATCTAGTAAGATATTTACAAGTCACAGCAACTCTATAAAGAAGGTATTATTACTAATTCCCAAAGGTCAGCAGTTCGAATACACCAGCTGCTCCTTGGAAACCCTATGCGGCAGTTCTACTCTGTCCTATGGGGTCGCTGTGAGTTGAAATCGACTCGACGGCAACGGGTTTGGTTTTTGTTGGTGTGTGTATATATATATATGTATGTATGTATAGTTCATATCTTGCAAATGATCCCCCTTACCCACATTCTATACCCAAGGAAGATGTTGTTCTGCAAAATTAAGCCATCAGGGCTCCTGGTTGCTTGTTTTTGCCTTCATCAGCTTCTCTGCCCTTGTATCATGGAATGGAATGGAGGGTGAGCCCTGGGAGCTTTGCTGGGGAACTGGGGCTGGATTAAGGCGCACCCATGCACTGGTTTATTTTCAGTCACTGCATAGGTTGTTATATCTTCGTTATGCTGTTGGCTTCCTGCCTACGATTAAACAGAAACCAGGCATGGTGAAACATTCTTCTTGTGTTTCTAAATAACTGTTTAAGACCTTGCCCTGCTTTTGCAGTTTGAGGTTGTTGAACCATTTTGGTGATTGGCTCCCTGGCTGGGATGTGATCCTTCCTGCCCCTGCCCCAGTGGACCTTTGATGCCTCCTTAGTGTGTTATACTTTAAACAGCACATTTGCCGGGGTGTAGGGAGGTGGCTGACCTCTCCAGAAGAAACAGTGATTTTCTGAAGGAGGAGAGGCATTTACGGGGATTGTTCTTGTTGTTGTTAGGTGCTGCAGGTCAGTTCTGACTCATAGTGACCTTATGTACAACAGAACGAAGCACTGCCTGGTTCTGCGCCATCCTCACAATCGTTGTTATGCTTGAGCCCATTGTTGCAGCCACTGATCAGTGTTCTGCTGCTATTTGTAAGGTTTTCACTGGCAAATTTTTTCAGAAGTAGACCTCCAGGTCCTTCTTCCTAGTCTGTCTTACTCTGGAAGCACTGCTGAAACCTGTCCACCACGGGTGACCCTGCTGGTACTTGAAATACCAGGGGCTTGGCTTCCAGCATCACAGCAACACGCAAGCCACTACAGTCTGACAAACTGACAGATGGGTGGTGGTTACAGGGATTAGCCATTCTTTTGTTTCATTTATTGAGCACTTGTGGATGGTTGCTATGGAGGGAGACCACAGAGAAGAAGGAGACTCTGTTCCTGGCACATGCCTGTGGGGCAGATGTATTAGTGTCCTGGGGCTGCCATGATAAAGTACCATACACTGGGTGGCTTAGAACAACATAAATTTATTACCTCAAAGCTTTGGAGGCTGGAAGTCTGAAATCAGGGTGTCCACAAGGTTGGCTCCTTCTGAAGGCTCTGAGGGAAACTGTTCCCTGTCTGGCTTCTGGTAGTTCCTGGCAATCCTTCGTGTCCTTGGCTTGAAGAGGCATCATTCCATCTCTGCCTCTGTCTCCACATGGCTGTGTCCCCTCTGTCTCTCTCTGTGTCTCTTCTTCTCTCTTATAAGGACAAAATTCATTGGTTTAGGACCCACTTTACTCCAGTAAAGGAGCCCTGGTGGCACAGTGGTTAAGCACTCGGCTGCTAACTGAAAGGTGGTTGGTTTGAACCTACCAGCGGCTCCGTGGGAGAAAGAGGTGGCAGCCTGCTTCCATAAAGATTTCGGCCTTGGAACCCCCATGGAGCAGTTCTGCTCTGCCCTACAGGGTTGCTATGAGTCGGAATCGACCTGACGGCAGTGGGTTTGGCTACTCTGGTATGATCTCCTGTGAACTTAAATCTGCAAAGACACTATTTCCAAATAGGGTCACATTCACAGGAACTATGAGTTAGGACTTCAACATATCTTTTTGGGGGACACAATTCAACCCATAAGAATTACTCTGCCTGCCTAAGTCTTGGTTTCCTTAGCAGTAAAAATAAGATCAGCCTCATGGCTTTTATGATAAATGTTAAGTGCTAGGCACAATGTTATATCCCTTCCCTTCTTCTCTCCATAAATGTCCATCCTACTCTGACCTCTTCTCTACCTTGACCTGGTGTTCTCCAGGCCTCTGTGGAGACCATGTTCTTGGAATCTCATGGCCAGCAAGGCCACAGTCCCCAGACAGCCCTCTTTCTTCTTGTTCTTTCTCCATTTTAGGGGTTGGAGAAGGCTGAGGGGACTTTGCTTGAAAAAGGAGAGCCAGACCCAGTTTATAAAGCTTTCAGGGAATAGAGAGATGCTCAGAAGTTTCCTCATTTGTCTTTGTTTCCTAGTGTTGCTGTACCAGAAATACCACAAGTGGGTGACTTTAAAGAACAGACATGTATTTTCTCACAGTTCTAGAAAGTACAAGTCTGAATTCTGGGCGTGGCTCTATGGGGAGGTCCTCCCTTGTCTATCGCAGCTTCTGGTAGCTGGCACTTTTGGAGTGTCTGGGCTGTAGATGCATCTGCCTCTGTAGTTGTCAGATTGAGTCTGTCTTCCTGATGTACATGCTCACTTCTGTGTCTCATCCACTCTTTTTACAACTCAGAAGGGGTTAGGTTTAGGACACACCCTACACTGATATGGCCTCATTAATATAATGAAGAAAACTCTTCTTTTTTTTTAATTTTTATTGTGCTTTAGGTGAAAGTTCATAGCTCAAGTTAATTTCTCATACAAACATTTATATATGCATTGTTATATAACGGTTAGTTACTATCCCTAGAATGTGACAGAACAGTCCCCCTTTCCACCCCAGGTTTCCCGTGTCCATTCAACCAACTCCTATCACCTTCTGCCTTTTCAGCCTGCCTCCAGACAGGAGCCACCCTGTTGGTCACATGTATCTGCCTGAACCAAGAAGCACACTCTTCATGAGCATTATTTTATGTTTTATAGTCCAGTCTAATCTTTGTCTGACAAGTGGGCTTTGGGAATGGTTTTAGTTCTGGGTTAACAGAGAGTCCTGGGACCATGCCTTCTGGGGTCCCTCCATTCTCTGTCAGACCATTAAGTCTGATCTTTTTACATGAATTTGAGTTCTGCTCCACATTTTTCTCCTGCTCTGTTAGAGAAAACCCTATTCTTAAACGGAATTGCATCTACAGGTATAGGGGTTCGGGTTCCAACACGTATCTTGCAGGGGACACAGTTCAATCTGTGACACCCTCCTTGCTGTCACTCTGGCAGCCAGTGGTAACCAAGCTGCTTTCTCCATTTTCCAGGGATGATCGGCTATGGCATGGCCAAGGGCGCTGTGCATCAGCTGTGCCAGAGCCTCGCAGGGAAGAACAGCGGCATGCCGTCGGGCTCGGCCGCCATCGCTGTGCTCCCGTAAGTGGCTGGGGCTCAGTTGCTGTCCTCCCCTCCCCCACTGCTGAGTGTTAACATTTGTCTGAGAGTCGCTGTCTACCAGTGACTTGCATGGGCCATCATACAGGTTCTAAAATCACCAGAGCCCCTTAAGATACTTCTGCAAGTTCGATTATCCTGGGCTGTCCAGAATGGTTGATTTGCTGGAGGGGGGGTTCTGTCTTTCTTGCCTCTTCCTTGTTTACTTTCCTCCCCTCCATCTTTTCCTTACTTCCTTTAAAAGTAGTTTACACATTTTATTTTAATACTATCAAAGTCGCAGTAGTTATGTTCTATAAGGACAAGGTTAAGTGCTTAGCTGCTAACCAGAAGGTTGGAGGTTTGAACTCACTCAGCTGCTCTGCGGAAGAAAGACCTGGCAATCTGTTCTTGGAAAGATTCCAAAAAAAACCCAAACCCGTTGCCGTCGAGTTGACTCCGACTCATAGTGACCCTATAGGACAGAGTAGAACTGCCCTGTAGGGTTTCCAAGGAGCACCTGGCAGATTTGAACTGCCGACCTTTTGGTTAGCAGCTGTAGCTCTTAACCACTACACTGTGGCCTAGGAAATCCTATGAGGCAGTTCTGCTCTGTCCAGTTGGGTCGCTATGGGTCAAAATCAACTTGGCAGCACCCAACAACAACATGTTCTGTAAAGTCCCCACAAACACTGAATTAGTAAATACGAAACAGTCTTGTTTGACCTCAGCTGAGAATGTAGGGGTGGGGCATCTCAACTTTTTCCCTAATCTGCACATGCACATGGAATCCCTGGGTGGTACAAATGGTTCACTCACTTGGTTGCAGACTGAAGGGTTGGAGGGTCAAGTCCACCTGGCTGTACTTTGGAAGAAAGGCCTGGTGATCTGCTTCTGAAAAATTAGCCATTGAAAACCTGATGGAGCACAGTTGTACTCTGACACACATGAGGTCGCCATGAATCGGAGCTGACTTGATGGCAGCTGGTCCTGGATATATGAGCATGTCCATGAGAGGGCCCTGAGTATTAATTTTTGGGTTGGGAATAGGAGAATTTGCAACTATGGAACCCATGATTAATGAGGATCAACTGTATATAATTCTGTTTTTCAAGTTATTATAAGGTTGGTGTGAAAGAGGGACTCTGTTTACTCTGTGTGTGTGTGTGTGTGTGTGTGTGTACACGTACGGGGGGGTACTGGCAAGTGTGGCAGTGTCGGGGGAGGATCCACAGAGAATATGGGAAACTACGGGAGATGTTTCCATTAGTGATGACAGGGAGGTCCCTAGTCAGCTACCCGAGCAGAGCCAGCTTGGGTTTGCAGGTTGAGCATTCTTTCTTGCTGGAGGGCTTCCAGCACCAGCTTGCTAGTCTCTCACCAGTTGTGGTATGATATGCTGGGATTGCTTGAGGTACTGGACTGACAATGTTTTCGTTATCTTGTGCTGTTATAACAGAAATACCACAAGTAGATGGCTTTAACAAACAGAAATTTATTTTCTCACAGTTTAGGAGGATAGAAGTCCGAATTGAGGGTGCCAGCTCCAGGGGAAGCCTCTTTTCTCTCTCTCTTTCAGCTCTGGGGGAAGGTCCTTGTCATCAGTCTTCCCCTGGCTCTAGGAGTTTCTCAGTGCAGGGACCCTGGGTCCAAAGGATGCACTTCACTCCTGGCTCTTCTTTCTTGGTGATAGGAGGTCCCTCTCTCTCTGCTTGCTTCTGTCGGCTTTTATCTCTTATGGGGCAGTGAAGGGTGATGACTCACCCTAATCCTACCTCATTAACATAAAAAACATAACTGAATCCTCATTAACATGATCTAATCTTGCCTCATTAACATAACAGACAGCTTACTCCCAAATGGGACCATAACCATAGGCATAGAGGCTAGGATTTAGACCACATCACAAAATGGAGGATAATCAGATCATAAAATGAAGGACAACCACACAATACTGGGAATCATGGCCTAGCCAAGTTGACACATATTTTTTGGGGGACACAGTTCAATCCATGACAGATGGACTTTCCAGTTCCCTTTCATTTATGAGGTTCTGTGACCCTGTGACCTGGTCCTGAAGCTATTTAAGTGATTCCTGAGAACTGAATGTTCTTGACAGATTTGTACATATCTCAATTCTGTATCCTCTTGCAGAAAATCATAAGGTTTCATGGGATACAGCCATAAAACGAGGGATGAGGCTGCCTTTTCCCATAATTAAAGGAATATTATTACACTTAAAAAAGTTCTTAGAAATGAGTGTGCTACTTTTTAGAGAGTGAATGAAGGCTTAAACAACAAAGCCATTTATTTTTAAAAAGAAGCAAAATGTAGCTCTTCCATCTTGTTCTGCTCTGCCTAAAGGGAGAGTCACAGGGCACTCAGTAAATTACACTCGATGGGATCTTGTTAATGTGGATGCCTGTCTGGCATGTCTCTGGCTAATCTTGTTGTCTTATCTCCCCCAGTAAATGTTGCCCTTGATCCTGAGGCTCATGGTGGTGACGCTGAGTGTTTGCATTTTCCTGGCCTTTGGAGGGGCCTTCTGGCTAGAGCAGGAGGACAAGTGGTTGTTACTAGGAAGATTATGTACAAATAACAAGCTTATCTCTGTTCAATGCAGGGTTACCCTGGACACCCCGATGAACAGGAAATCGATGCCTGAGGCCGACTTCAGCTCTTGGACACCCTTAGAATTCCTAGTTGAGTGAGTATCATGGTGATGACAGTGACTAAGCAGTTTCCAGCTCCTTTTCTCTGCCTTTATAGGCTTGAGGACAAGTCTGTGTTCTCTTGGGTTATCAACATGAGTGGTCTTTGTGAGGTTACCAGGCTCCCTCATGGAAGCTGGATTTGGAGATGATTACAGAGTTGAGGGGTTAACAGTGGTGACTCCAGTCCAGGCTCCCCCACTCATTAGCCAACCATCCTGAACACTTTATTTAACTGCTTTGGGCCTGAGTTTTCTTATCTGTGTAATGAGGTCTGTAGTGTTGTTGTTAGCTGTCGATGAGTCAGCCCACCACTCTCAGCCCACCACTCGTGGCCACCCCAGGCACAATAGAATCGGACTGTTGTAATTCATGGAGTTTTCATTGGCTGATTTTTGGAAGGAGATCAGAAGGGGATCTGTCTCAGTCTAGAAGCTCTGCTGAAACCTGTTCAGCATCGTAGTAACATGCAGGGCTCCACTGCCGCCTACAATAATGCTAAACCCCAAAACCAAACCTACTGCTGTTGACTTATAGCGAACCTACAGGAGAGAGTAGAAGTGCACCATAGGGTTTCCAAGGAGTGGTTGGTAGATTTGAACTGCCGACCTTTTGGTTAGCAGCCAAATACTTAACCACTGCACCACCAGGGCTCCAGTAATAATGCTGGGAGGATTGAATGTGGCACTGCTTGTCAAGTGCTTGGCACGATGTCTGATCCATAGTAAGTGCTCAGTAAACATTTTCACTGTTAAGGAAGAGCTGCCCTGTATAAACCACAACTGATTTAGGTTGAGTAACTGGTGCTCAGTAAACTTCAGCTCTTACTAATGTCATTTTCACTGTTAAGGAAGAGCTGTCTATAAACCACAATTGATTTAGGTTGAGCATTTGGAGTCACGTGTCTGAATTATGCCAGCCACACACCCACGGAGGGTGGGCTGTGACGAGTGTCCTTTGTTCCAGAAATCATATTCACCCATTTGTGGTATTTGAAAACTCTCCTGAGAAATTGGCGTAAAGTTTAGTCTGCAATGTCTGTGAGCACATTACCTTCTTTGCTGTTCATAGTTAGAATGGCACTCTGTCACCCACTTCAAACAGCTGGAGGTGAAGGTGATGCAAGACAATTAAAACATGCATAGCTAATGCACATACCCCTGTTGTTGTTAAGTGCCATCGAGTCAATTTTCGACTCATAGTGACCCCGTGTGACAGAGCAGAACTGCCCCCTTGGATTTTCTAGGCTGTAATCTTTACAGAGGCAGATTGCCAGATATTTCTCTCACAGAGTGGCTGGTGGGTTCCAACCGCCAACCTTTCGGTTAGCAGCTGAGCACCTAACCATTGTGCCACAAGGGGTCGCTATGAGTTGAAAATCGACTTGACAGCACCTAACAACAACATACCCCTACAATCCCAAATATGATTGGCCTCCTTCAGGACACCCCCTCGATAAGCTCTGCCTTGTCCCCAGAGATAGTGCCATGACATAATATAGTCCTTTAGGGATTTTTAGCAACACTTGTTTTATGAGTTCATGTAACTTCCCTGGGCTTGTTCAGGCCCCAGTGCTGGAGCTTGTAATGCCCTGATGGTTAAAAATCAGCTCTGGTCTAGGTTACAGATTGGTACCAAAGAGTATCCCAGCAACCCCTGAGCGCTTTCTGATTATAGGAAGTCCAAAGACCCAGCTGACAATTGTCAGAAGGGTTGGTGTACTCAAGTGTAAGTGTTTTGCATTTAAAAAATGGTCAGTTACTTACTGTTATACTTTGTGAATTTATTTTGTCTATTTTAATTCCTATCTGCCTATAGGGAGTCTTCTCTGATTCCCCCAAGCAGGGTTAGTTGTTAAATGTCACCATTACTGCATTTAACATATTTTATTCTAATGATTTGTTTGTTTTTTTTTTATCTTTTTTCCAATGCTTTGCACAGCTGCGGGTGCCCAGTAAATATTTGCTAAATGAATGAGTTTCTTCTCCCTCTCTCTTTTAAATTTCTGGGAAGCTAACATACCAAAGGAGCCCTGGTGGCGTGTTGGTTAAGTACTATGGCTGCTAACCAAAAGGTCAGCAGTTCGAATCTACCAGCCGCTCCTTGGAAACCCTATGGGGCAGTTCGCCTCTGTCCTATAGGGTCGCTATGAGTCAGAATCAGCTCGACAGCAACAGGTTTGGTTTTTTTATTTTAATATACCAAAGGGGTGGTGGCCTCTGGTCTTGGGGGCTGGCAGTCAGGAGTGAGGGACTCACACAGTATGCCTTTTTATATACCTTGATTTTTTTTTTTTAATCACATGTATGTATTACCTACTTTTTTTTTTTTTTAAAAAAAAGCAAACCCCTTAAATACTGTCCCATACAACTTTCTCAGAGTTTGGGAGAATTTGGAAGTAATTCTAGTGCCCCCCACCCATTGTCTGGGTGTGGTTATAGAAAGTGAATGAGGACCCTGGGGACGTCCTGCTCTTCACTTGGGGCCTGAGGTCTGGGGGTTCCTTTTTTCAGGGCTCTAGAACACACCAGTTCCAATTCTGTCCCCTCCTCCCTCCCAGTAGAATGTGGCCCTGGGCCGGTCACTCTCTTGCTCTGAACCACCATTTCCACAGTCTTAGCATATTTAACGGAGTCCCTGGGCAGTGCAAACTGTTAACATGCTTGGCTGCCGAGAGATGCCTCGGAAGAAAGTCCTGGCCATCTACTTTTGGAAAATCAGCCATTGAAAACCCTATGGAGCACAGTTCTACTCTGACACACATGGGGCTGCCAAGAGTTGGAGTTGACTCGATGGCAGTGGGTGTGGATGTTTAGCATGGGGCTCATCCCCCCATCGGGGCTGGTGGGGATGTGAAATGATGGGATTTTCATGGACAAACCCACAACAGTACACATAGTAGGTGCTCAACAAATGCTCCTTCTCTTTGCTCTTTGCTCAGAGCATGTTTGATCATTTGTTTTAAGAACAGTAAATAAAAGCTGGCTTGGGTGTCCATGATTGTGGCTCTGCCCATCCAGGTGCAGGCTGTTGAGAAAGTAGCCAGACCAGCACGTGGGACCAGAAACTTTTTCTTTGCGGGGAAAGTGAGGGTCAACCAATTGGTCAAATCACCTTCCCCCAGTCACCAAACTCTCCTGTCTCCCTGATGACAACCCTAATAATTAGCTAATGCTTGAGTGATTATTACCTGTCAGCACTATTTTAAGCACAATACTGTATGTTATACCTGTGTTATTTAAATCTTCAGAGCAGCCCTGTGGGGCAGGTACTACTACTGTTGCCATTTTACAGATGAGGACACTGAGGCACAGAGAGGTTAGGTAACTTGCCCAGGGTCACACAGCAGGTGAGTGGTGGGGGCACACTGTGCCCTTGTCCACTACACTCCTCTGTGATAAGCCATGGGAGGCGTGTTCAGCTCTTGTTTCATGTTTCAACTTCCTCCCTGCCTTACATGGATACCTGTCAGTGCCTTCTGTATGCCCAGCCCCAGGTCAGGTGCTGGAGCTAGGGAGTTTTAGCCTTCCAGGATATCAGTCTAGTGGGAGAGACAACCTCAGATAACCAAGAAAATGTGGAAACACAGAGGAAAGAATGACCCTCTCCACCTTTAGAGTGGAGGGAGCTTCCCAAAGAAGGGACATTTGAGCTGGGCCTCAGCCTGGGAGAATGAGTAGGAGTTCACCAAGCAGAGAGAATGACCATGGGAGGGACGGTGGGAAAGGGCATTCCAGGCGCAGGAACCTCAGGAGCAAAGCAGCAGAAACGAGGTGCATGTTTAGGGAATAGCACGTGGCCCGGAGTGGCTGGGTAGTTGAGTGTTGGGAGGAGTGTCAGGAGATGGGGCTAGAAAGCAGAACCCCAAAGAGTTGGGACTTAATTCTAGTGCACTCAGTTGATTGAGTCCACCCAGAGGTGCCTCAGAAGAAAGTCCTGGCGATCTACTTCAGAAAAATCAGCCACTGAAAACCCTATGGAGCACAGTTCTACCCTAACACACATGGGATCACCATGAGTCAGCATTGACCCAATGACAACTGTTTTTTTCAGTATACCAAAGTATAAAGTATTGTGCATATGTCTTCCTCTTAAAATTAACTAAAGTCTTTCTTCTTAATCATTTAAAATCATGTTGTTGTTATTAGTTGCCGTCGAGTCAATTCTAACTCATAGTAACCCCACATGTACAGAGCAGAACTGTGCTCCATAGGGTTTTCAAGGCTGTGACCTTTTGGAAGTAGATTGCCAGGCCCGTCTTCAGTTTGGAAGTAGATTGCCAGGCCTGTCTTCGGAGGCTCCTCTGGGTGGGTTCGAACCTCCAACCTTTTGGCTAGTAGCCGAATACTTAACCATTTGTGCTACCCAGGAACTCCCACTTAAAATCCTACCGCCATATTATAAAGAATTCCACAATGTGGAAACATCCCAAAATGAAAGCTAAAACCATGCCGAATCCTGCCTCTCAGAGATTGGAATGAGGAAAGTACTGGAATCATTGGGGACTTGGGTGTGTGTCCATGACACGTAGTGGGTTCATCACAGCTGTTACTGCACCTTGCGTTTCCCCCAGGCCATTGATGTGAGTATAAGCATGTGTCCAGATTCTCCACTTTGAAAATTTAAAGCTCCTCTTCTTTGCTCTAGAACCTTCCACGACTGGATGACAGGGAAAAACCGACCGAGCTCTGGAAGCCTTATCCAGGTGGTAACCACGGGAGGAAAGACGGAGCTCACGCCGGCATATTTTTAAGGTTCATCTCAGTGCCTGCGAGGGGCCTGCCGAACAGGTCATTGACCTATTTCCAGGTGGTCACAACTGGCCCTGTGTTTTCTGTAAACCTGTTCCTGGTATGAGATAGTGAGTCTTATTTTTTTTGTTGTTGTCGAATGTGCATTTAGAGCATTGGTGGTGCAGTGGTTAAGAGCTATGGCTTCTAACCAAAAGATTGACAGCTGGAATCTACCAGGCGCTCCTTGGAAACCCTGAGGGGCGGTTCTGTTCTTTCCTATAGGGTTGCTATGAGTTGGAATCGACTCAATGGCAATAAGTTTTTTGGGAACGTACGTTTGCTCTCCCAAGACAGTGTAAAATGTTTATGGGAAATAAAAACGTGTGAGGGTGGAGGCTTACAAATGGCATCCGTCAATGTTCACTGTTTAGCTCCGGAGGTCTGTGAATGGCCCCTTTGTAATAGCGTCAGGCCCTGTTTATTTGTTTATCTGTCCCTTACTGTGGCTACCATCTTGATTTGTTGGTATGGGGTTGTTTGGAGGCTGAGTTATTTTAAAAATATTATGTTTATGTCATAGATGTAGTTTTTGCAGCCTTGAATGAAACTGCCTTAAAACTCCTCTAGTGGTGTAAGTAAAACCCAGTGGACTTTGTCCCTGTGTCCTTTTTCTGTGCAGATGCCAAGTGTCCCCTGGCCGAGGGCTAAGACCTCGCATGTGCAAGAGAAGTACTTGTGATTATTTGAAGTTTTTCCACCGAATAAATGTACTTCATTTATTGTGTTGTGTTCTTTAATCAGTATGGTACACGCAGTCAGCATTGTCGTTGTTGTTGTTAGGCGAGTCAGTTCCCACTCTTGGTGACCCTACGCACAACAGAAGTCAACACTGCCTTGTCCTGCGCCATCCTCACAATCGTTGCTGTGCTTGAGCCCATTCTTGCAGCCACTGTGTCAGTCCATCTTCTTGAGGGTCTTCCTCTTTTTTGCTGATCCTCTACTTTACCAAGCATGATGTCCTTCTCCAGGGACTGGTCCCTCCTGGTAACATGTCCAAAGTATGTGAGAAAAAGTCTCGCCATACTTGCTTCCAGGGAACACACTGGCTGTATTTCTTGTAAGACAGACTTGCTTCTTCTTCTGGCAGTACATGGTACATTCAGTATTTTTATGCAGTGGTCATAGATGACTGTAATAAAACCATGGACTGCTAGAGGTCTTTTAGTCTGGTGTTCTCAAAAGAGGATGGACTCAAATTTTGAAACAAGTTTTTTCAAAACAGTAACATAGAGTAACGTTCTCTCTTAAGCGTATCAGGGTCTGAGGGTGGTGGGATGGCCCTGTGTATTTAGAAAAAGCTTATCCATGACACAGATACAGGCTGTTTTGGCTGAGAACTTGTGATCTAATCCAACCCCGTCATTTAGTAGCCAGTAAGTTGTAGAACTAAGCCCAGAACCTGTCACCAGATTGCCACTGTTTATAAAGGCCTTTACCAGGTCATTTCTTTCTTTCTTTTTAAAATCAAATGAAACTCAAATAACATAAAATTAACCATTAACCATTGTTGGTTGTCGTCAAGTTGACTCTGACTCATGGTGACCTTATGTAAAACAGAGCAAAACGTGGCCTAATCCTGTGCCATCTTCACGATTGTTGGTATATTTGAGTCCATTGTTGTGGCTGCTGTGTCAATCCATCTCATTGAGGGTTTCCCTTGTTTTTGCTGACCCTCTGCTTTACTAAATGTGATGTCCTTATCTAGAGACTGGTCTTTAACTACTATAATTATTCCCAAGGCAGACACTTAATAATCCTAATTAAATATTTGCCAGTCCAACCAGATGAAAAGGAACATGTTCACCCACCAGTTTTTGAATGCTATATTGAATAAATGCTATGTTGAATAAATAAATTTACTGAATAAATAAATTTCTTATCTAATTTTAAAAATTTTATTGTGGTAAGATATATAACAAAATTGGCCATTTTAACCATTTTTGAGTGTACGATTCAGTGGCATTTAGTACTTTCACAGTGTTATGCAACCACAACCTCTGTCTAGTTCCATCACCCCAAAAGGAAACCCTGTACCCGTTAAGCACTTATTCTCCATTCCTTGGCCCCCCTGCCCCCACCCTTTCTCATCCCTTGGAAACCACTGATCTGCTTTCTGTCTCTGTGGATTTAACTATTCTGGATATTTCATATAAATAGAATCTTACGATATGTGATCTTATGTGACTGTCTTCTTTCACTTAGCATGTTTTTGAGGTTCATCCATGTTGTAGCATATATCAGTACATCATTCTATTTTTGTTGTTGAGTACTATCCCCTTGTATGTATATGCCAGAATTTGTTTATTCATTCATCTGTTGATGGGTGACTTGGCTATTATGAATAATGCTGCTACGAACATATGTATGCAAGTATTTGAGTACCTCTATTTAATTCTTCTGGGTATTGTGATGGTTAAGGTTGTGTGTCAACTTGGCTGGGCCATGATTCTCAGTGGTTTGGCAGTTATGTAATGATGTAGTTATCCTCCATTTTGTGATATAATGTAATTACCTGCATGATGTGAT